CGAATAAAATTGGAGATACCCGAGTATTTATATTATTTGTACTGCTACTACTTCACCCACCAAACTAAAAGTAAAACAATATCCGCTGGACTATTTGGGCCTTGGACCGAGCCCTGTAGAGCTAAATTATTTAGCAGAGCAAAAACAACGAGTTAAACTAAATGCAGAAACGTCAGAACATGTAGTGGGGTCCCGTGGTGTGCCTCAGGGTCGCATTCTCGGACCACTTCTCTTCAGTGTATGTACTCCGGATTTGAGTAATTGCCGAAGTGGGACGACTTCACGTCAATATGCTGATATGCTGATGATGTACAACTGTATTGCTCCTTCAGGCGATTGGATTCCAATACTTTTCAGAATTATATTAAAAATTATCTAAATGCGGAACAAACATTCTCACAACCACGACATATGCCAATAGTTTTTAAAATAACGTGACTTTGTAAATCACTAAATGTGCCAAAAAGTTAGGGGTTCTGTTTGACATCAGCTAAGATTCCAAGACTATGAAGGAGTACTGTTGCAAAAATGTTATTTTAAATCAAAGTTGCTATATATCCATAAAGACTTAGTAAAGATGTGTGACTCACTCATAACATCAACTCTGGGCTGTTCTGGGGTAATGCATTGGTCTGCCCTTCATAAGCGAACAAAGGCGAGTGCTTAGACACTTCAAAATTCTTCATTAAGATTTAGTCGTGACGTTCGTAAGTTCGATCTTATATCGCATCTGTACCCTGAATGTAATTGCTTATGCTTGGACAACAGGTATGTAATGCATATTTCCTGCTTAATATACAAAATTAATAAGTCTTCTTTCCATCAATATTTATTTTCGAAATTGGTTTAAAGATTCAAACCTTCACATAAAAAATACTGGGCATGAAGGCAACTATATTGTTCCTAGGCATCAAACTGCACTTTTTCAGTGATAATTTACGTAAAATTCTGTAACAATTTATAACTCTCTACATAACCAGATTGTTACTTAGTTATGAGTTGTGCATTGCATTAGTTTAATAGCCATTTTTTGTTCTCACTGTGCCAGATCCCACCACCTACTTATCTATTGTTTTGTTTAATAATGTTTGAAAAAATTTAAATAAAGGCGTTATTTTTTATTTATTATAGTTTTTTCTTTTTGGAATTCCATAGTTCAAGTTCGGGCCAGGGTCTATTTTTTAGCAATCCTAAGTCATAGTATATGTATCGCTCTTTGACCGAAATAGAAAATTTTCCCCACTGCGAGTGTCGTTAGTTAACGTTGTGAGAGCAGAAGAATGTTTTTTTGTCCTAGTCACTACGATCCCTCTGGTATTGTCACATGTTTCAAGTTTTGAGATTTTAGTAAGTACTTACTTCGCGAATTTTAGCCCACGCGGAACACAACCAGAAACTTTGTAACACGTCATCTTTCCCCCTTGCAAGCTTAAGTAGACCAATTTATATTAAATGTGGTATAATATTTACAATTTAAATTCGTTAATTCTCAAAGTGAGATTTGTAAACAAGTCTTTATAATTTTGTTGTTCTCATTTATTATTATTATTTTAAGTTAAATTAATTTAAAATAAAAATGAAGCTTTTCCACTCTGGTAGTAAAAGGAAAGAAATTTATATACAATTACAAAAAAAAAAACATTGTTCTTCAACTTTTAGTAAAATCCTTAAGTCACTATCGTCACCTCTTTAAAATGTTCTCTTTTTTCAGGCAGGCAGTTCCCGTTGAGATAATTTAGCCCTCCTATTTGCTTTAACAAAAGCTTCCAAAATTATTGTTGTCTCTTTCTGAATAAGGCATTTTATAATAAAAAGAACGTAACTCCCGCTATCAGTTGTAAACAAACATTTGGATTTTCCAGAATTCTAGAATATTATTTTATTTTTGAATGAAGTTTTAGTTGACATTTTTTTCCAAAACGTTACCATACCATATGGGTAAAATGTTAAAAAGTTTTATTGCTTTTTATTTGGAAATTTTTATTAATGATATGTTTGTTTTTCGATTCCTATTATTAGTTCAAATATATATTTTTTAATTTCAACAAAATTAGTGTTACCTGAATAACAGGGAAACTAACAAAACATTCCAAACTTTATAGGTAAATTTATATACTAACTGAAAATGTAATTTTTGAATTTTTTTCTTCAGGATTCCAAACACACTTTTCAACTTGTAAAATTTTTTAAATTTAATGTTTCTTGTTGCACAAAATGATGAAAATGATGATTACCAGCTCCCTTGCGTGCCAAGGTCGCATCTCTTTGATGTCCCTTAAAAGATCGACAACTCACGGATCGATGGCCAACCCTTGGGCCAGCTCTATCAATGCCGCCAATACGACCAATCGTCAATCGAGGTCATCCATTTTGCACATTTCAAAATCGTCAATGTTTACAACATTCAGTAACACATTCGAAACGGCATAAAGCTGTTTTGGTTTCCTCTTCTGCGCAAAAAAATATTGATTTCCACGAGCTTCAAAGGTACTGGAAATGTTAAAATAAAAAAAAGAGATTCCGAAACTACAAGACACTCGCAGGTAAATAAAATTTGGTAAACCTGACAATAAAATTTCTTTTAATGAATAATTATTAGGTTTTTTGTATAAACAAACGGTGATCAGGCCATCAGCGAGGTGACACGGTTCGCACCTGAAACTAAAAAAATATCTTGAGTACCAAAGATTATTAAGATTCATGAAACAAATTTAATATTATCTAATATCACCAGATATCACAGGTAACAGATATATCTTGCATAAAATCTGGAACTCAGTTTAAGTAGGTACTAAGAACACACATAGTACCTATTTCAATCACTAGTGCTGGTTATTCGTGCAATGGATACTAAGGGCAGAGACACGCGACGTATACTGTCGCAAATAACCACATCGACACTGAAGGATAGACGCGACACTGCAATAAACAACAGGTCACAATATACTGAAGGGCAGCACACATATTAGTATATTGGTACTAAGGGCAGAGACACGCTTAGTATTGTCTGTTCATAGATATAAGAAAGTGGCCAATTGCTATTGAATGGGATTATCCAAGGGTGGTCATTAACATACAATGCAAAAAGCTTATTACCTAAAGTTTCGGAATTTAAATTCATGTAAAATTGTGGTCCGTAATGGAAAATAATTTTATACCTACCTGTGTTTAATATTCTTTGGTATACTACTTAGTTTAAGTTTATTAGTAATCATTCTTATTTCGTGTGTAATACAGCGTGTGTGAATTATGGAAAATATGTGCGAATCTAGTGTATCTCAGGAGATGCTCCCGCCCAAATGTAGAAAACACTATTCTATTGAGACTAAGGAAGTTATAAACAATGTTTACTTGACTCTCATTGAACGTGGTGCCAGCAAGCAAGCATCTTTAGAAGAAACGGCCACATTGACGAAAATTCCAACATCAACTGTATGGAAAATTGTGAATAATTCCATTTCCGCGAGGAATAAAAAAGGGGATGCTGACATTTGATCGATTGTAGATGAAAGTGATCAAGATATAATACGGCGTAAAATTTACCACTTATACGAGGAACAAAGCTTGCCTACATTAGATATCTTAATTAGGAGATGAAACTGGTGTTAAATGTGGCAGAACCACCTTATAGAAGTGTATTCAACACATGGGTTTTAGATTTAAAAAAATTGACAAAAGGCAAGAATTCGGAAATGGCGACTGTAATATCTAGAACAAATTAAGATAAACAGAGAACAAAAAAGGCCAATTATTTACTTGGATGAAACATGGTTCGACACTTATGATACCCCGGAAAAGGGTTGGGTTGACTCAGCTGATAAGTGTAACACAAACGCGCCATCAAAAAGAGGTAAAAGAATAACTATTTTGCATGCTGGCTCTAAAGATGGTTGGATTCCAAATGGACTTTCTGTGTCTGCGAAAAATATTAAAGATTCTTCTCTGGATTACCATGAAGACACCAACGCTGATTTATTGGAAAGTTGGTTTAAAAACAAACTAGTTCCAAATATTCCTCCTAATAGCGTCATTGTAATGGACAATGCAAGTTATCACAGTAGACAGTTGACTAAAACCCCTTCCTCATGTGACACAAAAGCAACAATCCAAAACTACATGTATAATAACGACATTTATTTTCACGAAGATTATACCAAAAAGCAATTAATTGAGGTTCTACAAAGCTTGAACCTACAAAAGGAATACGTCTGTGATAATTATGCAAGAAATCTAGGGCATACAGTTTTAAGGCTTCCACCTTACCACTGTACATTTAATCCCATTGTACATGTTTGCCACCAACTGAAATCTGCCATTCGTCGTAACAGTGTTTTTCCCCGTGTTAACTCCAATGTCCTCAAACTTATAGAAACCGAAGATTTTAACATCCCTCCACAAAGTTGGGCAAATTCTGTTAAACATATAGAAAAAGCAGAACAATCGTATATCCATCCATATTGCAAATAATATAGAACAAATAATAATTAGAACAGGCGATCATAGCGATAGTGATACTGATATATTATGTCAATAATTTTAAGTAATTTACGTAGGTAATAAAAATAATTTGTAATTTTATTTTAGATTTAAACATAAATAAATATTGTTTAGTATATTTCCTAACAAAACCCGAAAGAATTAAATTCTAAGTAAAGAATGGACCTGTTCGACCATATTTCATTCTTACAGCTTCCGGGTCTTTCCTTGATTCGTGTCGGTTAAACACATTCTTATATCTATGAATAAACTTTACTAGAAGTGATGCTAGCTTAATCCACCTTTATTTAATGTATTTAGCTCCATTTTTTTATCGAGCCTTGTCGATCATTGGACCAGAACCGTTTTTTTTTTCTATTTTAACAGTAATCGAGGAACACCATTTCCTATCCCGCGTTTGACCTTGACCTTGTCCGTGTGCACTCGGGCGTGTCTGAAAGTTTACGAGGTGAGACGATCGGTCCGAAAATGATTTGGCTCTCGCATTATGCTGCACCTAACAATAACGCGTGCTTGGCAGCGAAGATGTTTTTTTTTTGTCGGGAACACCCGTGTTCAAAAACCGACGGTGACGACGCCGTCAAAGTCACAAGATCCCGCATCGTCAGCGCCTTCTGTTTACACTCGTCAAATATATAACAACAGAAAAGTACGATCGGGATTTAGTTGGTCCGACGCCGTCGCGATGTTGTAAGTTTTTGCATAAAGCTTATCTTATCTCTCTCACTCTCTCTATTAATTGCAAGGATATAAAAATCCAAGGTTTTACACGCTCGGGAGCGCAGTGTTTGTAAACTTATTGCCGAAGGTAGGTTTGTTTTGTTTCGAGTCGTCGTACATTTGACTAGATTCAAAAAATTTTGGTCAATACGGAACATGTTTTTTTGATTACCAAAACATTACCTGACTGTAAACACGCGTCCGTTTAATTAAATTATTGAAAAAATAATTAAGCAGAGTGGTCTGTGTTTTTGTGACGTTTTCGTCTATTTGATGACAATTTTTTGAAACCACTTTATTACATAAAAATAAATAAAAATATTACATTTACTTACTGACTCAGTGCTTGATAGCTCTGGCCTTGTAAACTAACCAGTGTGCTATATTGACTAGTGTTAAGTTTTACTAATTTTTAGTTTTTTTTTTTTCATTTTTTTATATTACGCCTTTCGACGAAGATATTTTCAATGGAGAACGATTTCCAAGATAAGTAAAGGTGAAAAGTTTTTGTGATATTTCAAAAACGGCAGTTCAAATGGACAAAATAGATTAACATCAGAATAATTTTTGATACTTTGAAATATTCCTAATTTCCTAATTCTGATTAATTAGTCGTACTAACTAAAAAAATTAATGCAAATACATTTTCTTCGCAATATTTAAATATTCAGATATGTGAAACACTCCGATCTTACTTCCACTTCTGAAATTTGACTAAATCAGTTTATGAAAATTTGCATAAATGCTTATTTAGATTATATATAGTCGAGAATGCCCCAAAATTAAATTTGATTTGTATTCGCTATATATATATATATATATATATATATATATATATATATATATATATATATATATATATATATATATATATATATATTCCAGCCATTAAGTGCTGAGTTGTGAAGTCGTAGGTATATGACGTTTACTGAAAAACTAAAAAAAAGCACCTAAGATTTGTCAAAATCGACTCACAAGTGAAACTTGTTCTTACATGTTTTTAACATTTTAACAGACAATGTTTGTGTCTTACTCCAGTAGCGTTGCTAAAAAATCGTTAATTTAAGTATCATTTGGTAATCTTAGTATCCCTAACAACTCGGATACATGTGATCCATTGATTTGAATCTTGTCTCCATAACTACAAAAAACCAATTATAACTAATTCTAGATAGTCTTGTTCATAATACATGAAATTTTTGTTATAATTTTCAGTTGAATAATATAGATAGATGGATACAGAAATGCAGGAATTAGGTATATTGATAATTTAATTGTATTTGGAATGTTTTTTTATTATAAATTATTCTTCTCTTTATTTGAGTACGATATATACATATGTTTTTATATAACGCAATGTAAATTTTATTAACTAACTAATGTTTTTTTATAAGGAAATAGTTACAAACATTTTCTTTCTATTATTATTCCTAATTTATATTTTTTCAGAAATCTATTTTTTTTTAAATAATGTCAATTTTTACATATACATTTGACAACGAGTCGTACGATAGAGCCATAGTTTTTTTATTTTTTTAAGCTTACAACTTATTTTGGTTAAAGAAAACGTCCACAAGGAACGTTCAGATTTTTTTAAATTTATAGCCATAAATCTTATGTCAGTCGTTTGGTCTTTTACTTAAATATCTTAATAGTTTTCTATTTTTGGAAAATTGAACTTAGGTTCCTTTTACTTGATGAAAATCCATTTATTAAAATACATAAGAACTAAAAGTTCAGATTTTCACGAAATTATATATTATGACATGACAATTGTTTCGACAACACCGTGTCTTTATCAAATGTAATATTTACAAACTACCTGCTACTATATATACCGAAAAATGACCATAAAACCTTAATTAATGTTGTTGTGAGAATTTAAGTTCATTAAAGGAGAGGTATTTAAATCTAATTAATCGTTAAGCAATATATTTGCATACAATAAATTTAATTTTGCTACTTTTTGTGGCTGTATGTATGCTGTATGTTTAAGTGTGTTGCATAATTAGAATCTAGACTATTGTTTTTAAACGCTCTTTTATGTTCATTAATGCGTTTTTTTGTCCAATATAATTTTTAGGACAAGATCCGCATTTGAACCTGTAGACACCTGATTTTTGAGTATTTGGACATTTCGTTTTATTGTTTTTTAAAAATGTTCTTATTGTGTTGTTAGTCCTGAAAGCTATTCAAGTAGGTATATTTAGTAGCAGGTAGTTTGTAGATATTAGATTTGATACATTTGATAAAGACACGGTGTTGTCGAAACAATTGTCATGTAAAAATATATTATTTCGTTAAAATCTGAACTTTTAGTTCTTCGCTCAGCTAGATTTTTCTTCGCCAGAGGAAGGGGACACTGATTTTCATAAATCAAAAAAAGAACTACATACAAACATTACAATAAGCACAAAGATAGAACCGAAAGTGGCAGAAATTCTCTTGTATTCCTTGAAATTACTTGTGTATGTGTAACTTTTCCTATTCTCTCATTTGATGTCTAACTTTTCCCTTTCCCTCCCCTCTCTGATATTTATTGTTTATTTACCTACTATATAAGGCTTATTCTTTTCTATCTGGAACAACGATTTTTCTTTTTAAATGAGGCTTTAAGAGTATCTGGGTTTTGCCTGGAGGGCTCCGATTTATTTCAAGCCTTTTGCTGCATGTTTTCCTAATTAATTTTTCATGCTATTTGCAATAAATGTGAGAAAATAAGCCAAATATAATTATTCAAACATGCACACGGAGTGTGAACAATTACAGTTGAATAAAAAGTGCAATGAGTAAAAAATGCTCAATAATCCGAAAATTTCAGTATTTGCTATTAAATCCCCGGACTTTTGGATACTTTAAGTCCATGGGCTGACATTTCCAGAGCTAAATTCCCGGACTTTTCCGGGTGGACAGGAACCTGTCCGCAACTTTAAATTCTCAATTCTCGCCGTTTTCGACGTGACCTTCGGATAACCCGCTAGGTTATGGGGCAGTTTAAAACACGAGAAGGTTCCATTTAGAAATTGGATTTTCGCGTTTTCCGCATTGACGGTTCCTCGTTAACTGGAAGGGCCCACGACCGCGATCGCGTTTTGCGCGGGCATTAATTTAACGGCGCTCCGGCTTCCGCGTTCATTAAAACCCGTGCTCGAAACGTCGGGAAAAATCAATCGGCGTCACGCGAGATAGAGCCCATTGTGACGAAGATAACGACGCGATATCACGGGGTACGATTTTCGCATCCAAGCGGCGATCGCGCGGAGCCGAATCGGGAGAATACGGGGGCACTGGACTGAATAATTTTAATTGGTTGACATCGAGTGGCACTTTTTCCTATGTGATATTAATTTAAACACCTCTTAGGGAGGTTCCTAATAGTTTCTATAATTTTTGTATACAGGATTTCACGTTTTGGCCACTTATTATACTACTCCGCAAAAGTTCTTGTAAAGTTCAATAACTTCTTCGTTTTCAAGATACAGGTAGAGTGCAAAGCAGCTCTTGAATGTTCTTTAGTCCAGCAAATAGTTTATACACGGAAAAAACAAAATACTTGAAAAGAAATAAGAACTAAAAATTCAGATTTTCGCGAAATTATATATTTTTACATCATAATTGTTTCGACAACACCGGGTCTTTATCAATTGTCATGTAAAAATATATAATTTCCTGAAAATCTGAACTTTTAGTTCTTATTTCTTTTGATAAATTAGTTTTCATCAAGTAAAAGCCACCTCAGTTCAACAAAATACTTGGTTCAAATAGGTTAAGCTCAAGTTGAGCAGAAGTAAGCTTTGCATATGCTCAAGACTATGTCGGCTAAAATAAACATGGCCAATTCTTAATATCCCTAAGCTTATTTTAACAAAATGAAATGCTTCGTTTGAGTATTTGAATTTTTTTAAACAAAAATGTAGGTAATTCAACATAATTTTATATTGAATTTTTGCTAGTTTTAAATTAGTTAGATATATACTTAAAAATATCCATGTAGTTGCTTTAAATCAAGCATTACTATTCCATCCAATAAGTCGTATATATCTTGTTTGATCTTATCCCAGTTTTATATTGAGAGGGTAGGAAATTTTATCGTAAGAATGGAGATATTTAAAAAAAAAATTGTCTAATTTTATTTTGACCATTCTACCAATAGAAAACTTTTATTCTGGGAGATAGGAAAATACAAATATAAATTGCTTTCCGCTTTATCTTTTTAATAAAACATGTTATTTATTGACCAATGATTTTTGATAATTTTCAACAAATAAATCGGCTTTTTCAGATGTGTTACTTAACTTAGGGGGCGGTGGGGCAAGGCGCTCCCGCCGAAGCAAGGAGGCCCACCTCAAAAATTAACCAAAATTTTTTTTTCTTTTTTTCTTCTAATAATTATATATATATTTTTATAAACTTCGCCAAAATTTGGGTAAATTTAGTCCCCTACATTAATAATTATGACAAAAATAAATTTCTGCTACTGTTAAAAACCAGTGGTAAATAACACATTTTTGTAAGAAGGTAAGATATTTACACTATTTACATTAATTTTACTTATTTAAAACTAGTATTTCAATTATTATTATTAATTAGAATTTTTGTGATCCAGAATGCAGAATTAATTTAACATATAAACAGTTTCTTTAAAACTGTTTCTAGACGAAGGAAATAAGTCATTACTAACTTTTTCTTTTAATCTCGAAAATAGAAATTTTTACCAGCGAGTAATTTGTATAGACAATTTTTCGTATTGTAAATTTTCTGTTAGTCTTTGGTGGTCTGTTTCTCCTTATACTAATTTCTACATTAAAAGAGAACAAACTTTAACCTTTTTTTTAATAACAAATGATACAAAATTCTTAGAAATTTGTTTAGCTTACGAAATACACGAACACGTCAATTACTGCTACCTAAAATAAAGAACAACACTTAATAAATACATTAAAAGTACAAACAAATGCAACTACTTTCCCATATCATTTGTCAAAATAAAACGATCCATATACCACATAGCAATTTTGATACCGTATCCAAATGCCCATATATATCACGTACAAATAATTTTCCTTATTATTGATCACTTCCCAGGATTATAGCCTGTACAAGAACTTGCACCAGTCGGAGCAAATTTCTCAACATTTCGAACATTCTTAAACAGATATCTACATTCAGATATATTTGAGAAAAATCCCTACTCCCTATAACATACCTAAAAGATGTAGTTAGTAAATATAGTAATAATAGTGTTTTACAAATATCTTTCAATAATTTTATTACGGACCCGGAAACTGCACTGAAAGTTCATATGACCAATCGTTACATGTCGTCAGCGTTCGTCTAGCCATGATATGGGATCAACTCAAACCAAACAGTACTGTACGATTATATACTGCAATGAAAAGTACATTTTAAAAGCATTTTCAAATTGAGGATGTCAAACTTATTACATCAAGGATATTACAATTTTAAGAATTGAAAAATGTACTGCGCTTAGCACTTAAAATTTAATTTTGAATTGTCATATCTTCAAATTACAAGCATTTGTAATTTTAGCTCAATATTATTGAACATAACATCTTCACATTTTTCAACACTTTCTTGAATCTTGACTGTCATGTATAACCCTTCTAATTGAATTGAATGTCGATGATGTCGATGCGCGCCATTTTGATTTTCCCTAGCAGCGACCTCACAAAAGTATCGATTTCGTTTCAGGTCAACCGAAATGGACCAGACCAAGATTATGCAGAGGCTCGAGTCTTACGAGTCTCAGATCTCCAACACGAATGACACCAAGTCCGACGTTTCATACCACAGAATGAAACAATCGTTGCACAACATGTGGTCGACGGTGTACTCAACGGACAACAGCGGTACGAGGACAGCGAACATCAAGAGGATACAAGAGTGCCTGTCAAATTTGGAAAGGAAGGTGACCAAGAACGAGCAGAAGAAGTACATGAACTATTACAGCGGACACGCTGGATTCGAGGGTGCTTCCAACAGGGGCGCCAAATGTTGCTGATTCAGCCGAGTGTGTGCCAAGTGATGATAAAGACTCGCTACTTATCGAGATAAAAAATCCCAACGATACATCCTTTTGTGCCGGATAGAGATAAATCGCTGAAACGAACGTGTCAGCGCACTCGAGCTGGCAAATACTGCTGCAATTATCTGATTACTTCGTTATTAATGTGGCGATAAATCACTATTAAAAAGTACCGTCATTAAAATTATTTATTTAGATAACGAATTGTTTGAATATTTATCTGGCGAAACTGAAACCTCGCGTAACATATTCGTTTTTTGCTTTTATAAAGCACCACCGCACGTGATGTTTAGCGTAATGTAATTTAGAGGAATATGTTTATTCGGCAATCAGAAATGTAAAATAAATTATTGAGTTATGCGTTCCCGTGGTTTTATTGTTAATCGTAAATCGCCGCGGAGTTGACCCGAATATTTAATAACTCGTACCACCAACGTAAGCGGCTGTGCGACAGGACCGGCCTTAATTTTAAATAATTTTGTACACAAAATATTAAACAATTTTGTGACGATTTGTCATTTTTGCCAGTTAAACATCTTTTTCCAGAAAGTGTTGGAATAAGCATATTAAATTGGTGTACATTGCTGGCATTTTTTCGACTGATTATGAAGTGGAAATAAAAAAAGAATTAGAAAAAAATGTGGATTGATTGAAAATTACCGAATTATCAACATATATCTCTTTTATATTACATGCCTCTGGGCGGTTGTTGGAAATAAAACTCCATTTTGCTTTTGTGTTTTGAGCGTAAGAAACATGGAATAGCGGAAAAACTCGATTACAATAACGGTCATATATTGTTAATTTAGTCAGCCCTTTTAATTTTACTAAGTGCATATAATTTTAAATTCAAATTTAAAAACCATTTATTCCCATTTAAAATTGTGTGGACAAGTGTCGGATATTCTCAAAATTAAAATAAAATAAACGCATATATATACATACATAGGATAACAATATAACAACACATTTATCAAAATAAATAAGAACTATAATTTCAGATTTATTTTTATTTATTTATATATTTTTACATGACAATTGTTCGACAATTGTCATGTAAAAATATATAATTTCATGAAAATCCGAACTTTTAGTTCTTATTTATTTTGGAGAAGAATAACTGCTATAAAAGTTTTTTGGTAAGGTAATGTAAATTGCTGCACCAAGTCAAAATTTTTGGGGAATTAATTGGAGAAAACTAACATATAAATATATATATATATATATATATATATATATATATATATATATATATATATATATATATATATATATATATATATATATATATATATATATATATATATATATATATATATATATATATATATATATATATATATGATGACACTATATTCCGGGATATCATCCGTTCGCTCGTTGAACTCCGACTGGAATCCTGCAAATCCTGCATCCGACTGGAATCCTGCAGACGTTTCGCCAAAATCTCACTTGGCATCTTCAATGCTCGCGCTCCGAAAACACTTCGAACACTCGTGTTTTCGGAGCGCGAGCATTGAAGATGCCAAGTGAGATTTTGGCGAAACGTCTGCAGGATTCCAGTCGGATGCAGGATTTGCAGGATTCCAGTTGGAGTTCAACGAGCGAACGGATGATATCCCGGAATATAGTGTCATCACATTTTTCCATCCGTGAATCAATACGTGAGAATATATATATATATATATATATATATATATATATATATATATATATATATATATATATATATATATATATATATATATATATATATATATATATATATATATATATATATATCGTCGTTGCCCAAAATTCTACGGGCTCCCAAAGATCCATAAGGACGGGGTTCCCCTGCGTCCAATCGTAAGCGCCTTTAACTCACCATTATGCAAGCTGGAAAAACATCTGGCCAGTGCACTTCAGCCTATATTGGAAAAGGCAGATTCCTATGTTAAAAACTCAGAACATTTCACTCAGATTTTAGGTTCTCTCAGGATGGACAAGGACGACATTATGGCAAGTTTCGATGTCAAATCCCTCTACCCGAGTATTCCAGTAGAAGAGGCACTCTTGCTTATAGAAGAAAACGAAGATCTTCCGCCATACATAATGGATCTGTCAAGACATTGCCTGAAAAACGCTTACTTTATGCACAACGGGAAAATTTACCGACAAATAGATGGAGCAGCAATGGGATCATCTCTCTCACCTGTGATTGCCAACCTCTTCATGATTTACTTCGAAAAGAAAGCAATAGAGAAGGCAAATCTGAAGCCAAAACTATGGACAAGATACGTTGATGACGTATTTGTTGTATGGCCTTTTGGCAAGGAGGAGCTTTTGAAATTCCTAGATCATCTGAATTCCATTCACCCAAGGATTCAATTTACAATAGAACTTGAAGAGGATAACAGTCTGCCCTTTTTAGATGTGCACATCACAAGGACCGAAGATGGACACTTGGAACACACTGCCTATAGAAAACCAACCCACACTAATAGATATCTGAACGCTAAATCTCATCACCACCCATCACAGATACAGGCAGTGGCAAATACATTAATTGCTCGGTCCTTCAGGCTCACAAACGAGAGGAACAGAGATAAAGAACTGAAGAAAATTAGTACCTGTCTTCGACAAAACGGATACCAAAGGCGCACCATCAGCAAGGCAATCAGTAAACAACAACAGCCGCAGCAGAGAGTGCAGGACGAGACCCAACGAAGATCGATCGCTGTCCTGCCATACATCAAGGGGGTTACTGACAAAATCGGCCGAATATTACGGAAACACGACATATCAACGGCATACAAACCTGACCATACCATCGGAGCAATACTAAGAAACCCAAAACAAAAAATTACTCTGGAAAACCAAGGAGTATACAGTGTAGCATGCGGATCATGCAGCCTGACGTATGTGGGACAGACCAACAGAAGGATTTCAGCCAGGCTCGAGGAACATCGTTTAGCCATAAGAAACAAACAAACAACATCTGCTTTGTTTCAGCACCAACATCAGACAGGCCATAAAATTGATTTCGGCACTTGCAAACAAATAGCTAATATTCCTGATTTTAGGACTAGGATTATACGAGAGGCCATCGAAATAGAAAAGTCCGGACACCTCAATACGAGAGACGACGCTCTGCATTTATCCAACACGTGGAGAACGATAATCAAACAGCAGAGCGATGCGCAGCAGCCAACGGGGACATCGCAACTACGATCGGGCGAAATTAACAACGCGACAATTCAGGGGGCGGAGCCACCTCCCCCCACGCACAAGCAGCACCGTTACCATCTCCGGCGCAGAGTATAAATACCGCACGCACCGCCGATAACCTCCCAGTGTTCGAAGTGTTTTCGGAGCGCGAGCATTGAAGATGCCAAGTGAGATTTTGGCGAAACGTCTGCAGGATTCCAGTCGGATGCAGGATTCCAGTCGGAGTTCAACGAGCGAACGGATGATATCCCGGAATATAGTGTCATCATATGTATATGTATATATATATATATATATATATATATATATATATATATATATATATATATATATATATATATATATATATATATATATATATATATATATATATATATATATATATATATATATATATATATATATATATATATATATATATATATATATATATATATATATATATATATATATATATATATATATATATATATATATATATATATATATATATATATATATATATATATATATATATATATATATATATATATATATATATATATATATATATATATATATATATGTATATATATATATATATATGTATATATATATATATATATATATATATATATATATGTATATATATATATATATATATATATATATATATATATATATATATATATATATATATTCTCACGTATTGATTCACGGATGGAAAAATGTGATGACACTATATTCCGGGATATCATCCGTTCGCTCGTTGAACTCCGACTGGAATCCTGCATCCGACTGGAATCCTGCAAATCTTGCATCCGACTGGAATCCTGCAGACGTTTCGCCAAAATCTCACTTGGCATCTTCAATGCTCGCGCTCCGAAAACACTTCGAACACTGCGTATATATATATATATATATATATATATATATATATATATATATAAACATATTAAAATTCTTATGTCCCTCTTGACTTAGGTAGTGATGAAAAAGCTCATATTAACTGAAAATTGATGGAAATCGAGTAGATAGAGTGACGTCAGGCTCAACATGCGATTTTTCGGTACTGTTTTGGTACAAAAACTGATGAAAAAGCCGATTTAAACCGAAATTTTATTGAAATCAATGAACAACTCACTTTTTGTGCCAGTTTAGGCGAATTTCATAAAAAAAAAACTTTTGTATGATGTTGAACTGAGGTGGCTTTTACTTGATGAAAATCCATTTATCAAAATAAATAAGAACTGAGTTCAGTTTTTCACGAAATTATATATTATGACATGACAATTGTTTCGACAACACTGTGTTGTCGAAACCATCGTCATGTCATAATATATAATTTCGTGAAAATCTGAACTTTTAGTTCTTATTTATTTTGTATGATGTTTCTTGCCAAAATAACTAATGAGTGTAATTATTATATTCATTTTTTTCTCTGATCGTTTTTTTGAAAGAAAAAAATTCTATCTATCAAGAAAACGTTCCCAAAAGTAGAAACGGCTGGAGGGCATCGAAAACCTTACGTCGGATGAATCGACTTTCGGCAAACACAAAGCAAAAATTCAATTTACGTTGACCACAGGCACCCGGTGCGCAAATAACTGCGTCGTGCTTGTGTAAAATTCAAATGGTGCCTGTCGCCCTTAATATTCATGAGCGATGCCAAGCTAAAAGCTTATGCAAGTCTTTTCTCCTGTGGATGCCGGCTTTAATTTGCATGAATTACCATACGCCGCTACTTGATTCGTTTTTACAAAAACTATCGATCACTAGCGGGCCGCGCGGCATGTACCGGGCGTTCGCTACACTCGCGTCCGCCATTTTCTAACGGCCCTTTGCCAGAATCCCTAACATATGTCCTGCAAGTTTACTTTTTTTGTGAAACATAAAATTTTGTGTAAAAAATGGAATGGTGAATCTACTTTGAGCAAAAAAAATGCAACAAAAAAGGTCACAACTGGTGACAAATCATAGGTCCAGTCGTCCGAATGAAAGAACCCAGAATCACCAAAACCAAAAAAAAGCACGTCAAGTTTTATTAAATGTCAAGGTTTTGGTTAGTGTTTTCTTTGATTGTTGTGGCGTAGTACAACAAGAGTTCTTACCACAAGGTCGTACGGTCAATAAAGAGTATTACCTTGAAGGTATGCGAGGTTTGGGAAAACAAT